CTAGCTTGCTAGCATGCAAAAAAAAATCGATAGCTGCATTCGTCACAAGTGGGAAAAATTTTAATCTGCATGACACTTTACTCCAATTGGCTCATTCGCTTGCTCAACGTTGATTCTGATTCCGCAGAACTGGGTTGGTGTGTGAAAAAGTATTTGTTAACATTCTTTTTTCATTCGATTTTTCCAGTTACGAGTCCTTTTTTTAAGCTGATCGTTTTGTGTTCATTTTGCTTCGTTCTTTTTTCGTAACAGATTTAATGTTTAGTATAGAGCTTAGAAAAAATTTGCAGTGTGAGATAGGCAAAAGTAAGGCATGTAGAAACATCAGCACGGAAAAAGGGCACTCCTTTAAAAAACAAGGAAGGGCAAAAATATTTTAAGTCAAGTGATAGCGATTGCTGTATGAGTCGTACGATTTTTGAATCAAGCACAGGCAACTTACGGGCCATGCTGCTAGTATATATATATATATATATATATATATATATATATATATATATATATATATATATATATATTAAGCATTTCACCCCAAGCAAGGCGGGATGTTACTAGTACGCAAGGGGTTACAGAGAATGGGGATGAGAGTAAAAAGGCGGAGAAGCACAGTGAATAGGTCAGGGTATCTGGAGATGTCGATTGACATTACATTTCAATATTTGGAGATTATAGCTATCAGGGAAACAAGTACTAGGAAGGGAATTCCACTGACGAGAGGTGCGAGACATGAAGCTATTGGAGTAGAAAAGACGGCCACATTTAACCGTTTCGACAGTGAAAGGGTGGGACCGAGATGCCAGCCTAGTAGCACGCTTAAATTCATACAGTCTGGGAACTAGCGAAAGTAGCTCGTCGAAGCAGTTACCGTGAAAGTATTTGAATAAAGACAGAAAGCGACGACAGCACGTCTGTGAGAGAAACGACTAAAGACGAGATGCCAGATCAGGACCAACCACGTATATATATATATATATATATATATATATATATATATATATATATATATATATATATAATACTGTAATACTATATATACATATATGATGCTGCATCAATTTCTGCAGTATGGAATCGTTCCTCGACGAACACTCCCAGGGCATCCTAGCTCTATGTAAAAATAATCTTAATTCTTCAATACCCTCCTCTGAATTCTCTGTTCCTGGCTCTCTCTTTAGGAAGTACTTTAGTTTCCACCTGAATAGCCTGGGATTTTATGTTCGGGAACATCTTCTACTCTCTCTCTCTTATGTCTTCTCTCTGTATCGTTCCTCTTCCTCTAATGACAGTTGTGTGCTATATATATATAGGTAAAGATGTGCCTGGTAATCTGTATGGATAATTACAGGTAGGATATGATCCAGAGAGCTCCATGTAAAAACAGAGCAAATATTAACTATATTAAGAAACAGACAACTTTAAGGGTACGTGGTGATTATAATTTATTTCCTTAGAATCGAAATTCGATTCTAATTCCTTAGATCCACATTTTCATACAAATAAATGGGTGAAAATATTCCAGGTATAAGAAGAATTCGGTATTATTATTTTTAATTAATGCACACATGTGTTTGAGGAGGCAGGTTTAAATTGGTGGCAGGGGGGGAGGCGGTCTGTCGGGGGGGGGGGGCGAAGCGGGTAGATATCTCCCGAAAATGAAAAGGTGATTGAGGGAGTGGAAGATAAAAGACAAGCAAACAAAAATAGGAAAAGATAAACGAGAGATGAAGAAGAAAAGAGATAGATGTATTTACATACATCTTAATAAAAAGACATAAAATGAAGATGGGGTGGTGAGGGGTTTGTTTGACATTCTGACCTCTTCCTCAAGTACCTCTGGCAGAAAAGTGGAGGGGGGCGTAGAAATAAGAGTTAAGAAAAAAAGAGACAGAAAGCATATATATATGTGTGTGTGCGTGTGTTTGTGTTTGTGTGTGTGTGTGTGTGTGTGTGTTTGTGTGTGTGTGTGTGTATATAGGTGTGAGTGTGGGTGTTTGTATACATTATTTACATTGTTCGGAATGTTGACCTCTGCTTTGTTGCCATATTCACAATGTTTCCGCCCTTGTTCGCTTCAGCCCTCTTCGGGAGATACTCCTCAATGGCACATGGCCGAGAGAATAAAAGCCTTGGTTGAATCCGGTGACTTGATCCAAAGGGTTGTGATTTCTGGGCGGGTCGAGAAGCTGGTAGCGAAATCTGCTGCCCATATCGAATTTTAAATGAAACCTCATGCTAAACGCTTTCCTCTTATATCCATTTCTTGTAAAATTTATAGTTAATAAATAAATTATTTAAGTATTTTAAAATGGGAAGATACTTTTCAATCACTATATATATATATATATATATATATATATATATTGAAATGGACAAAGTCCGACAATTATTTTAAGACATTTTTATGTTTATACATTCTTTTTGTAGATACACATATTTAAGTAAATGCTCTGCTTTATAATAAACAGTATTAAACAACATTTACCGGTCTGAATGTCCGAGAAATTTTCATAGAAAATCGACTTTATTACCCGAACGATCCTTTGTGGCCGAAACAGTTAGAGGCACGTTTGACTATATGACGGTTCCGTATAGGGTACAGGTTCGATTTCTGCCGGAGGACGAAAATATCCTATGAAAATTTCGCGGACATTCAGGCCGGTAGATGTTGTTTATTATAACGCAGAGCATTTACTGAAATATTTTTGTATATATAAAAATGCCTTAAAATATATATATATTTTTATGATTTTATATATATATATATATATATATATATATATATATATAGTTAAAGATCAAATATTGATCGAAATCTGACAGAATGATAAGATAAAGAACAAATAGGCTTATCAATCTAACGTATTTTACTTTTTCATTATTTTTCTTATTCATTATCTTGTTTCATATATATATATATATATATATATATATATGTGTGTGTGTGTGTGTGTGTGTGTGTGTGTGCGTGTGTGTACAAATATACGGCAATGCGACTAAACATCCGAATGCCTCAAGCCAGCTTCAAAACCCAACCGATTTGGTGTCAGTCATAGTTCTTCATTCTGACAGTATATTTGTCTGTCTGTCTGTCTATTTGTCTGTCTGTCTGTGTCTCTGTCTGTCTGTCTCCCTCTCTCTGTCTGTCTGTCTCCCCGTCTCTCTCTCTCTCTTTCTGTCTATCTATCCGTCTCTTCTCTCTCTCACTCTCTATATATATATATATATATATATATATATATATATATATAGTCAAACCTAGTGAGCCAGACAAACCTACCCAGGTTTCACCTAAGCGGATCGTCAGGGAAAGCTGGCTAAAGAGGCAAAAGCGAAACGGCATATTTATTTGAGCTACTCAGGATATATTTAAAAAAAGATATTATAATCACACGAGTAGTTTTAAAAATGAAAAAAACTAAACATAGCATCACACTATCCACCTTTGTATGGAAAATTAGACAAGAAAATAAGAAAGATCCCATCCTTAAATGGGAAATATTAAGAAGATGTCCCAAATATAAAGCAGGTCAAAAATTTCGCAAGCTATGTACAGAGGAGAAATTAGCTATAGTTTTATATAAAAGACCTAACGATCTATTAAACTCTAAAACCGAGATTCTTAACAAATGTAGGCATAGAAAATCTTGGTTATTGAATTAGGTCTAATCTCCCCTGTTTGTATTGTTATTCCACTTTTATTGTCCGTGTTTTCTTAAAATATCCCCACTTTTAATCGTTTGAATAAATTTTAACAAAGGTGTTGTGTTGTTTTTTCTTTTCTTGTCATGTTTTTCTATTCGCTTTTTTTTTTCTATGGTCACGTGGTATAGTTTTGAATGTCGCCTATAAATATGCCGTTTCTCTTTTGCTTCTTTAGCCAGCTTTCCCTGACGATCCGCTTAGGTGAAACCTGGGTAGGTTTGTCTGGCTCACTAGATTTATCTAGGTCTGCTCTACGGTTGTATTGAGCTCTTTTGTTAGTTAGTTGTTTACTTGTATCGGGTTTTTTTTTCCTTTAGGCTTCAAACCTGCATCTGTGCGATTTTTTTTCGACAGACTTTCATGTTTCTAGCTCTTTCTTTTTTTAAACCCTTTTTTCCCTCGGGATTGATTTGATTATTGGCAACTCAAAAATTCGAAGATTTTTCGAGACGAGCATAGTTACACACACACACACACACACACACACATATATATATATATATAGAGAGAGAGAGAGAGAGGGAGAGAGAGATAGAGAGAGAGATAATATTAGTGGTCAATATATATATATATATGTATATATATATATATATATCGTAAAAGATAGTTTTAAGGTATGCTATATTTATGTGTTAAAGTGCTCAATATTAGCAACTATAGTGTATTAGAGCGTATGTAAATATAAAAGTGGGCACTGAAATCAACAACTGCGGCGACAGTCTGTTTCAGGCTTAAACACAATATTCAGTATATATATATATATATATATATATATATATATATATATATATATTTCAACTCGGTGGAGTTGTTTGTTGGGAATATTTATTATTTCCAAATTTTGCTACATGCCGTGACCCTTCAGAACGTGGACGATCACGGTTGTACACAATCTTCTGACCTTTCATGCTTTTAGTAAGGTATGTCTTTTTTTGGCACTCTTGGCCGACTTTCTTCATAATATGTCCTTGAAATTTTATCGCTGTCTTTTTGATTCTATGTACAACGGCTTTTTTTTTTTTTTTTTCAATTTTTCCTAAAATCTCGCCATTGTTCATATTTTCAGTCTATTGTAATCTCAGCATCCTTCTGTAGAACTACATTTCTGTTTCATCAAGTCGCATCGTCATCTGTGAGGAGAGTGTCCCGCATTCGCTGTCATGTAGGAAGACTTATGTAACAGTTCGGTACTCATTTTTTTTCCTTTTTTTTCTAACGAAATTTTCATGTTTCTTAATAATTTGCTTGGCTGTTAGAAGGCATCTTTCCTTATTCCACTGTGGCTTCTGATTTTCGGACTAAGATAGATAGATAGATAGATAGATAGATAGATAAATAGATAGATAGATATACTCATCTGGGAGTTCAGAACTTCACGCATGCGCAACAAACATATATTTCTATATTTACCTGTACGCAGTAATACCTAAATGCACCTGGCTCTCATGAAGCTTTTTAATAGGTCATAAAATACACATTAAATATAAAATCGTATCTTTCTGCAAGTGGCGATAATTATCAAATACATTAGAGGATATGAAGATAATTTTTTTTTCCTTGAAGAAAGAAACGAAAAGGCTGCTATCAACTGAAACAAGCCTCATTTTCGGAGTTGGAGAGAGATGTCTCGGCCAAAATCTAGCACAAGGTTAGATCGTATCTTTTACTTTACCTGGATTGCGCTGTGTCAGAGAAGACATCATTTCAAAATTTGATCTGTGTTTATAAAGATGAACATCGAAAAGAACCCTGTCGTTATTTATCACAGGGTATGCTCGGATGCGATTCCAATGAAGACAAGTATAGTTTAAGTGTTTTTAAAAAATTATCAAACATTTTCTACCATACTGCACTAAAATCGTGATTATCTTTCTTTACGAAAGTTAATGCGCTCTCTCCTGATCTGCCATCTTGGTTTAAGTCATTTTCCCACCGACGTCATGTGAATTTTTCTAACAATAATTTCATGGCAACTGTTCCGATGAGCTTTAAAGAAACTACGTGAATTTAATTGTCCTACATGAATTTAAACGTGCTACTAGATTAGCAATTAGGTCCCACCGTTTTACGTTTGGACTAGTGCGATGCAATTGCCGCTTCCATGATAACAGTTTTTTTTACTCTTGCGATTCTCACCAGTGAACTTCCTCCCGATTTCTTGTTTTCCTGCTAGCTACGACCTTCATTTTAACGCGTCATTTTTTGGATGTCGTTTCATATTCACGAATTGAATTGGTTTGCTAATTATCGTGTGGTCTTATTTGGATTTTTATAAATTTACTATGGATCAATAGTGAAACCCCAAACAAAACACTATGAAAGTTTATAGTAAAAATAGCAGCAATACATTTTTATATTAATAAAAATGCAACATGACCAGGAATACATTTTAGTTGAAAGCATGCAATGCGTTCAAAACATGTTTAGTCGAAGCCATAAAATTGTTCAAATTATTTAGATTTCTGTATTAAATTAACCATGGAGGTGTTGATATGCCGCTAACAAAATAAAAAATGTGGTGGCGTGTGATTATGTGGACCTACACATCTCTATCTATAAAAGGCAGGATATATGATGTGTGTGTGTGTGTGTGTGTGTGTGTGTGTGTGTGTGTGTGTGTGTGTGTGTGTGTGTAATGCACGGCTGCAATTTTCGACGGATTGCACCAAAATTTACATGCACATGCTCCCAAGTTAGGGAAGGCCAAGACCGACATTGCATTTTCAACTCCCATCGATAGTGGAAATAATCGATATTTTCATGCTTCTGCGGCAGTTTTCATGTGGTTTGCGGCCATTTCTACTGGCCAGAATGAGAGCCTACAGCTGGCTGCCACGAATAGGCAGGAAGATTCTATTGGCCAGCGTGAGCCAACAGCTGACTGATACGAATGTTAACTAGCATGCTAGCATGCAAAAAAAAATCGATAGCTGCATTCGTCACAAGTGGGAAAAATTTTAATCTGCATGGCACTTTACTCCAATTGGCTCATTCGCTTGCTTAAACTCAACGTTGATTCTGATTCCGCAGAACTGGGTTGGGTGTGAAAAAGTATTTGTTGTTAACATTCTTTTTTCATTCGGTTTTTCCAGTTACGAGTTCTTTTTTAAAGCAGACCGTTTTGTGTTCATTTTGTTTAGTTGTTTTTTCGTAACAGATTTAATGTTTAGTATAGAGCTTAGAAAAAATTCGCAGTGTGCGATAGGCAAGAAGTAAGGCATGTAGCAACATCAGCACGGCAAAGGGCACTCCTTTAAAGGCAAGGAAGGGCAAAAATATTTTAAATCAAGTGATAGCAATTGCTGTATGAGTCGTACGATTTTTGAATCAAGCCCGGGCAACGCCGGACCATGCTGCTAGTGTTGAATAATAGTTGCAAACTATTATCTTCTCGTGGCAGTGTATTTGGCTCAGACATTCTAAGCCTGACTTTAAGGGTCAGATGGTAGACAAAACAAAGGAAGTTGTTTTTGATTGGCTGAGCCGAACGTGAGAATGTTAAAACAGAATGTGTTTTCAGGGAGTTAAGTTTTACGCGTCGAAGAGAGCAGATGTGGGTATTTCGTGTCTCGGGGAACTTGATTCCGAGTGGGGTTCATAGAGCGACCCCACTGGCTAGTTTAAAAAATGTACACGTCGACGTGTTTAATAAAATAGATAAATTTAAAATCCCTTTTGTTGAATTTCTTATTTTACCTCTGAACAAACCAACCAGCGATCACCCGACCGGAAGATAACAGAAAGAAGAAAGCAACATATGAGTGAATCAAGAGGGTCGCCCCAAGACTACTCCCCCCCCACGCCAGCGCGAAGGGGTTATATAACAATATGTATAGATATCCTGTTTGTTTCCATTATCCCTAAATTATCATCATTGCTCACATGTTCGGTCTATGGTATTATTTTCCTAATCTTCTTCTTTGTTCCGTCAGCACGTTAGCAATCATGGCTCTCCACAATTTCCTGTTCATTGTATCTGTTAATATTTTTGTTACCCTCTCGTAAAACCTATTCTCCCATCCATTTATAAAAGTTCACTGGGTCGGTTATGGGCTGCTTTCCTGTGTCCCTCTCGCCTTCAAATTGTCCTGTGAGTATCAAAATTTCCAAGCCCTCTTTCCTCATCATGTGCCATAGAAATTTCAACTGTTTCTTTTATTTTGTTTCGATTTTCTCTAACACTTCATCCTTGCTCTCATTTTCAGTCCATAGTATTTCCAGCATATTTCTGCATAACTAGATTGATATCGCCTGAAGTTTCTTCATTTTCTGTGAGTTGATCAATCACTGACATAGAGGAGGACTGATATAGCATAACTGCTTAGTACTCTTTTCTTTGTTTCAGACAAAAATTTCCTGTTTCTTAATAGTTTGCTTAGCTTTTTGGAAGGCATCTTTCGCCATCCCAATGCGTCTTCGGATTTCGGTACCGTGTTTTCCATCGTCTGTTCTACAATATAATAATAATGCATAGGCACAGTCCAAAGCCGCCCTCAATCAAGATTATCATTGTTAACTCCGTGATCTTGTCGACAGATACGTTGCATGTGTTATGCCAGGGTTACATGTGATTTCGAATTCGGATTGGTCCACTTCCGGGGCTGGCTGCCAACCACGACTGGAAACACCAATCTGCACTAGTACTGAACCCACAGCTACGAGAAGAGATGGATTCATGCCTTTTTCAAGATGAATAGATAGATAGATAGATAGATAGATAGATAGATAGATAGATAGATAGATAATGAACAGAATGATATAGATAGATAGATAATGAACAGACTGACATAGATAGATAGATAGATAGATAGATAGATAGATAGATAGATAGATAGAAAATGAACAGAATGAGATAGATAGATAGATAGATAGATAGATAGATAGATAGATAGATAGATAATGAACAGAATGATATACATAGATAGATAGATAGTAAATGAACAGAATGACATAGATAGATAGATAGATAGATAGATAGATAGATAGATAGATAATGAACAGACTGAGATAGATAGATAGATAGATAGATAGATAGATAATGAATAGATGAATGAACATGAATGATATACATGAATAGATAGATGGATGGATAGATAGATAGATGAATAATGAACAGACTGAGATAGATTGATGAATGGGTAGATAGATAGATAGATAATTAATAGAATGAGATAGATAGATAATGAACAGAATGACATAGATAGATAGATAGATAATTAACAGAATGAGATAGATAGATAGATAGATAGTAAATGAACAGAATGAGATAGATAGATAGATAGATAGATAGATAGATAGATAGATAGATAGATAATGAACATACTGAAAGAAATAGATAAATATATAGATAAAGTTTGTAGAAAACAAGATAAAAATAAATTGGTGCCCAGAAATTCCCAGGTGAAGAATTAAGAGAAAGGATGGTATTTCCTGCAGAGGTTATTTCTATTGAAAATGCCCTTCAAATGCGTTTTGGATCTCGGCGGGCAAATGCAGACGAATATATACTGCCGCGTCTGCTGTATGGTGTTGGATTTGAACTGGGTGTGCATTCGCCTTGCACGTCCAAGTGTACGTTTGGAAAATCAACCGACATGGACTCTTTTTCCAGAGATAAGCTCTTTGGCAGGGCCATCTGGAATGTGTACCACCAGATGCATGCAAACAGGAACTCGTTTAATATTAAGCGGGTGGCTAGCCGCATTTAAAACGTTAAGAAAGTCGAGAAAGTTGAAAAGAATGAGCTAATAAGAAAATAAACAAAAAAAAATGCGAAGCTTACAAACTGTTATGGTCCGGTTCCTTGTACCACGGTGATAGTCCAAGGTAGAACCAATAAAGAAGAACTCGAACACGGATATGGAACAACACAGATATATTACAAACAGGAATATATACAGAGAGGTAGAAAAGTGTTAGTACGAACAATCTGGATTAGTAGTAATTGTCTGAATACGACTCTGTTCGGACTGCCTCTGACTCGACTGACTCACTCGCTCGCTCTGACTGACAGACTCCTGACGGACTTCACTCCAGACTTCAGACTGAACGGTATTTAGTCACCCCCCACCACCACGAGGGCATCATGTGGCACAAGGCCGGTTTAACATGGGAGCTCCGAGCCCGTGGGCTCGGCCAAAAATATGCCCTTTGAGCCCGTATAAACGGATTCAGGGTCGGTTTACCTCCCCGAAAGAGACTCTGCCCTTCGGCCTGAACTCCCTGCTTCCCCTTTAGGCGCAGTATTTACTACGTATGGAATAGTCCATTATGTTATTATGGGTAAGGTCCCCTAACACAAACATTCAGACTTATATTGTCAAAAGTCATAAAAATTAATTAGTGTTGTCGACGCCTTTGCCATTAATCTTATTAGTACAATATAAGCTGTTTTGAGATATAGACTTAAATGCGTGGGTGGATATGATCGTAAGAGGTCGTAAGCTGGGGAGAACTAGAAACCCAGTCAGGATTTAATATGGGTGGGCAGACTCTTAACGAAATACGTCGATAATACCGTGTTTATGTAAAGAAAATCGAGAAGAAAGGACTAATTATCAATTATAAAAAGAATGGTTATAAGTGAGAGAAGCAGTTCAAGATACGACATATTACAATGTTGAGACGTCGAAATCAAGCATTTCTTTTAATCATTTCATCCCAAACAAGGAGATATGGCCACTAAGACGCATGGTGCTACAGTCAGTGAAAGAGAATGAGAAGTCTTTTTTGAGGAAAAATAACAATAAAAAAACAGAATTCAGTGAGAAAGAAAATGGCGATTGACACTACATTTAAATCTTTGAAGATTTTAGGTGACTGGGAAACAAGAAACAGGAAGAGAGTTCCAAAGGCATTAAGTGCGAAAAAAAAAAAGGAACTTTTAGAATAGAATTTACGGTTACAACTCTATGTAGTTCAACAATAAAATGATGAAACGTAGTAGCCAATCCAAATCCATACAGTGGAAGTCTGTCAGTCAGTCTGTCAACTAAGTGTCATATGTGATACACATTTGGTAATCATGTCTCTTTCGATCTATGACTGACGAGGCAGAAGATTTCTCCTCAGTAGGTTGCCATTTTTTCAGCGGTAGACTGGTTACCAACCAAGGCTAAAGAAAATAATCTGTCATACTATTCAGTCCATAGCTGGCGGAGAAGAGATGGATTCCTGCTTTTCCCAAGGGTACTTGCGCGTTAACGACTGTAACGAACTCGACTGGAATTCGAACTCGGCTGTCCGAGTTCTCCTTCCGAGCCGATATCCATTACGCCACAACAAGGTAACATGGAAGAAAGCTCACCAGGAGAAAATCGCCATGAAAATATTTATAGAAAAGTCAGAGGTGATGATGGCGGGAAATTGACTGAAGTCGAGATGCCAGGTCAGGACCGATAACATTACAGACCCTTCTTTGAATTTTGGCAAGAATCTCGAAATATACGGCAGGAACATCAGACCAGATATGGAAGCAGTATTCAATGCACGGACGAATGGTAGATTTATAAATGTGCAAGATGGATTCTGACCAGAAACATTGTCTGGCAGGAGACTGAACCAACTCCCCTAGAAGCAGACCTGAAAAAGTTCAGAAATGTACATATCTGGCAAGTGTTTACACTGATGATGTAAAAGGTGACATCTGAAGTACAGTAGAATCCCTCATATCCGGAATCCTTCATATCCGGAATCCTTCATATCCGGAATCGCTTATATTCGGAATCCTTCATATCCGGAATCCCTCATACCCGGACATGATTTTGTGTGTATATTTGAACTATTTGGGTGATATGTAACTGATTTGAAATTTCTGTTTTCAGGAAATTTACTTTGGATAATTGCTTATGCTTATTTCACCCTAATGGCTTGTATTGGTGCAAAAGATGATGGGAATAAGAGGAAAAGAACATCTTTGGAATTATCACAAAAAGTGGAAATTTAAACAGAGTAAATGCTGGTGAACGTTCATTGTAACTAATGGCCGAGTTCAACATAGGAAAGTCAACATTGTATGATATAAAATCTTCCAAAGAAACTATTCTCCAACGTTCACACTGTCACAATGAACAAGGAAATAAGAAACATGATTGTGATGAAACCTGGACTGAAATTGAAAAAGCTATTGAAAAGGCTGTCAGTTTTATGGAAAGAAAGCCAGCATTCAGCTATGAGAATTGCAATAACGAACACAGAGTTAAAGAGTGTCTTTCGTTTAAAAAAAGTCAAGAACAAAAGGAAAACGAAATTCAGACAAAAAATGAATATAAAACTCAGATTTCAGGACAATAAGTTAAATGCAACAAATTTGACAGGCGAATTATGTGAAATAAAAAAGACAACATTATTCGTATAGTAGAAAATATCGTTTTAAATTGATTGATTCGTGTAAGTATAAGTAACATCACATCGTGCATTGTTATTCTCGCGTTAACAACATGATGGTGAAGACAAAGGAGCTTATACTGCTTTTTTGAGCATATTAACATATTAAATAACTGGCATCATACGGGTATTAGATTCTGAGAAATGGATAAAAAATATTCAAAAGGAAAACGAAATTCGGAAAAATTTGAGAATGACATTAAAAGAGAAAGAATCATCATGCAACAACGATTAAAAAATCCTCGCTAGATTATTTGTTTTGCAAATGTGGCTTACTTAATGTTATGAACCGGTTCCTTGTACCACGGTAATAGTACAAGGTAGAACCAATAAAGAAGAACACGAACACAGGTATGGAATAACACAGATATATTACAAACAGGAATATATACAGAGAAGTAGAAGTGTTAGTATGAACAATCAGGTTTAGTAGAGAACAATGTAGTCTTGACCAGTATCACTATTCCAATGTCTTGTAATAATTGTCTGAACGCGACTCTGTTTCGGACTGCCTCTGACTCGACTGATATAAAGTTCAACAGGTTGCTCTGACTGAATGACAGACTCATAACTGACCTCTCTCCAGACTTCAGACTGAACGGTATTTAGTCACCCCCCCAAAGGGGGGCATCATGGCACAAAGGCCGCTTTAACTGAAATCTCGAATCAAATTTCTTTTCTCGGCCAAAAAAATTCCCTTTGAACCCGTATAAACAATGTATTCATTTCGATGTACCTCCCCGAAATTTAACTCCGCCCTTCGGCGTAGCCTCGTTCAGGTTCCTCCCGGCCGAAGGCAGAATTCAACCGATCAGCCGGTCAGCCGGTCGCCCGACTTCAGACTGAACTCCCTGCTTCCTCTTGAGGCGCAGTATTTATTACGTATGGAATAGTCCATTATGTTATTCTGGGTAAGGTCCCATATAACACTTCATTTAATGAATTTTTCATTAACATTGCATTAAAATTCCGTTATATTTCACTCATCATTAGCTTATTTTATTTACTATAAAACATTGAAAATAAATGTTAAACCTGATTTGAGTTCTTTTATTTTAATCTAAATATAGCACCTCATATCTGGAATTTGTAACCAATTCTTCATATCCGGAAGGCCTTCTAAATCCGGTTGTCAGGGATTCTACTGTATTATGAAACAGAAACATTTCCTAAAAAATAGATAAGAGCAGAGTTTGTCTATATTTCTGAGATGAGGTATTATGTACAGTATTTACATTAGTCGGACTATTGTCCTCATCTTTGTCATCGAATATTTGTCACAACGTTTCGGCCGTTGTACGCTCCAGCCTTCTTCAGGTGGTTGGAATTTCGCAACTGAACCCTTTATTTCGATCGCTGGGCTGGAATTAGAATAGTCTACCCAAGATTTCGAAATTTGTTGGAAAGGGTTCATTGCATACAAAATATTTTGACCAATTATTAAGAAGGCCGGAAAATTTTCAATGCGATAAACATGGAGATGAAAAATATCTCAAATCAAAGAAAACATTTATTCCAATTTTCATTTTTACAATGAAAGATTTTAACTAATGTAATAATCGTAATTGTTCAAACAATAAACTGTTTTACATTATCAGTCCCCCTATATATCAATGAATGCTGAGCAGTCTCATCAGAGATGTAGAAAAGACTTGAAGCATCAGAGATGTGGTTCTACAGAAGGATACTGAGAATACCATAGACAGAAAATCAGAATTTGAAAGACAAGAGACTTATAATAATAAAGACACACTTAAAATTTCATGGACACGTTATTAGGAATCAGCGATCAGAAAATGTTATCATGAATAAAATAAGGAATCAGAAATTTATCGATCTCATAATTTTGAGTAAACGGATGACAGAGTGGAGAGAAAGAGGTAATGTAAATGTTTCTTAGAGCAACACCTGACGGGAAGTTGTGGAGAGTATTGATCTTCTACGTTCTGAAGGGACACGGTCCGTAAGAGAAAAAAGATAAAGATATGCGTGCTTGTTTAGAAAAGGACGAGTAGGGATGCAAAAAAATTATCCTAGGAGAAAATTAAAATACACAGAAGGAATACCTGAGACGATGATTTTACAAGTATGCAAATGAACTGCCTCATTAAAGAACCAAGACTGTTTGAATTGATTCTGAAAAAAATAGCTGATATTTGTTCAAATTTTGTAAATTGACTTGGGCCAGTAACATTTCGACACCCCTCTCGTAACCAAATAGATAGATAGACAGACAGACAGATTGATTCGAACATACTGAGATAGATAGATAGATAGATAGATAGATAGATAGATAGATAGATTGGCGTTCCCAGGCAGTGCTTGTAACCCTCACTATCTTATCAATATTTTATTTATTTATTTATTTTTTACCTACATCTTTATACATTACAAATTAAACTAAGCACAATAAAAAAACTGACTATAAAAAGGATGAAATATTTTCGCGGATTTTGACGTCATTGCTTTTGCTCCAAATCCGTGAGTTTGTCTTGCTCATCCTTATTCTGCAAAAATACTATATCAAACTATATGTATATATATATATCTATAATGTAGAATGTGTTCAAATTAATCAACTTTATAACAAGAAAATTATCAAGTTGATGTTAAAAATCATCGCAAAACATTGTTGATTTATTTAAGATGGAATGATCTATTATGACATGTCTCTAATTCGTATTTAGATATGTTAACCATGTTCGCCATAGTCTATGAATATAGAATACAGCGCAGTTCATAATCTGTTCAATGAAACAACGTTAAAAATTAACACTCACGAACAAAGGCTGGCAGTGAGTATTCAGGAAAAAAACATGGCCGCCTTTATACACGTCGCATTGAATATTTTGAGCCTTCTGATTGGTTAACCCTTGTATTGGTGAACTATAAAATGAGTCAGATCATTTTGGCTGGCTCACTAGTACACCAGGGTACCCAAAAATTCCAACAAGGTACATGGTATTTATTTTCAATTTTTCGAATTGACTTGTTCACTTATATTGCATATCCATTATTGTACATAATTAGGTTACAATAAAATCTCTATTTTATATGAATATTACCGTATGAAAACTGAGATATAGTGGAGTTCATATTCGGGGGATGTATCATAGACTGGGAGATATGTGACCCTTGCACCTGTCCTGGTTGCGATTATTACATAACCATTTTTTTTCGGACAAGCATTATTTTCTTTTAAACAAAGTGTTTGTTATTTAGTATTTCCTTTCTGAGATGAGCAATTGTCAATATTCTTGTAATATTTCAAACTATTATCCTCGCTTTGAGAACAATATTTCGAAATAATAAAAGAGAGTGTCTATATATATACATATATAATAGGGGATGTCTGTGTGTCTATCTGTTTGTCTATCTCTTTGTATGATACCTTTTCACTCGAGATCCATCCAACCGATTTTGACCAAACCTGGCACATGCATTGTACAATGTAAGAGATGGGCTCTTAGCGTAAAAAATCGTGAATTTAAAAAAAATATCAATAATCAATAAAGCCGATCAAAAATTGATGAATTAAACTTTTTTCCTCCGATTTTGTTCAAACTCAGTATGTAGGTTACTTATATCATGACGAGCTCAACGATACTTCGTTTTTATTTCTACGCCACTGCGTTTAGCGAAAAACCGCGAAAAACGAAAAATAGATTTCAACACAAATTTTAAACTAAAAACAACCTCAGTTTTCAAGCACTCTAATAGAAACCTCACTCAATTGTAGCCAAAAATAAGTTGATTGTTTAACAGTCATTTAACTTGATAAGTGAGTCCACCCATATAGTAAAAGTCCGCGTAAATAGCAAAAAATGGCGATTTTTACTGGTTTTACTTTTAATTTTCGTTGTTCTTTCAACCAATTTTCATCAAACTTAACAATTGCTTTATAAATGCATCCTCTTTTACATCCCTGGTAGCACACTGACAAATTGATTTTCAAAAAACTCCAAAATAATTGTGGTCTGAAGTGGTTCTTCATGTTGCCTGTTTTATCCCTTCATGTCATCGGCTAACTTCGATTGAATACATACAGACTACTTCTGTTATATCAGTAACTGCATCAATTCAAAATGTTTTTAACGAAAGTGCTTTAAAGTAATTGAAGAAGATCGACTCTATTATATATAAATAAGATGCTGTTTTTGCTCCATTCTGATTGAACGCTTTTTCTGATCGACCAGCTGGATATGGCTGCTAGTTGTTAATATTACACAATTATTTTTCGAACTATCCTCATCACCATGTTTTGTTTACAACCATATAACGTTGAAACACCGGTTCCGTAAGATTACCGAAGTTAAGCAACGTCAGTACCTAGATGGGTGACTGCATGGGAATACCTGGTGCTGTAAGTTTGAATGTGTGGGTGTTGCAATGGATAATGGCACAGAATTGTTAATCAGAGAACCGAGTTTAAATTTAATCAGGTTCTTTATATTCACTTACGTGCAAATACCCTTGAGAAAGGTATGGAATCCACCTCTTCTCCCCCCAGCTATGGGTTAATTATCTTTTGTCACTAAATAATTATTTTCTACAAAAACATAATTCTTATAATATAAAAATATCTTTTGGTTTCGAATAACCTTGCAAAGGGTTGATTATACGTAGGAAACGAATCAATCTTTAAGAGACATGTTTAAACTTGAAAAATCTTTCATTGGTGCTAATTTAATTTTATAAGTTTCAAAGTTAAAAAAAATAATTCCTTTATTTTGGGTCACGGAATACGATAACAGTTCTCCAGTCGGGACGTCTATCTGTGTCTTGATTTTTTATTTTGCATTGATTTCCGCCCGGGAAAGGTATGAATTTACCTTATCTCTTCTCATATATGGGTTGATTAGAAAGAATTGTTTCCCACAAAAATAAATCTACAATCTAAAAATATTTTCTAGGTTTCATAATCCGTAGAAAACGAATCAATCAATCAATTAAATATTGATTAGCTACACAGGCATGTCTTTTAGATTTATCTAAATTCTCTGGAATATAAATGTATAGAAACTACAGTGGCCACAAAGTGAGGGATAAGTTTATATATTGATTGTAATATAGAATTGATCCCCCCCTTTATGATTTCCTGTTTATCAATTTCTGAATTCTGAAATATTGTCTGGCTTTAAATAACCTGTAACGGGTTGATAAACCGTAAAAAACGAATCAACCAATCAAATACTGATTAGCTACACAGACATGTCTTTTAGATTTATTTAAATTCTCTGCAATATAAATGTATAGAAACTACCGCGACCACAAAGTGAGGGATAAGTTTATATATTGATTGTAATATAAAATTGATCCCCCACTTTATGATTTCTTGTTTAACAATTTCTGAATTCTGCAATATTGTCTGACTTTAAATAACCTGCAGAGGGTTGATAAACCGTAAAAAACGACTCAATAAATCAATTAAATATTGATTAGCTACACAGGCGTGTCTTTTGCGTTTATTTATACTCTCTGGAATATAAATGCATAGAAACTACCGTGACCAGAAATTGAAGGATCAGTTCATATACTGATTGTAATATAGAATTGATCCCTCAATTTATATACATTTTATAATTCCTTGTTTGTTTATCAAATTTTGATTAGTTATGAATCAACCTCTTCCCCGCCCCATTATTCTCCCTCGCAAAAATATTCTACAATTTAAATATATATTTCTGGGTTGAAATAAACGCAAAGGGTTGATAATCCGTCAAAAATGAATCAATCTGTAAATCAGTCCTCATCATGTGTTTTAAAAAAGTGTAGTTATTATTATTATGCAGTCATTTCTTAGTAATGTCCTCACTTTGCGTATTTCAAAAAGGATATGTCTCGAGCAGGTTTGCCCAGCATGTTCACATTGCTCAGACAGCGCAGACACCGTTGGTTGGGCCACGTTCATCGCATGCCAGACGGCCGCTACCCAAAGACTATATGAAGAACTGGTCGCTGGAAGGAGACCCGCCTGGCGGCCACAGCTGCAATACCACAATTTGGTGAGACGCGACATGAAAGCTGTGGACATCAACACAGAGTCCCGGGAGAGCCTGGTAGCCATACGATCCGAATGGAGAGGAACCCTGACCAAACATCTCAAGTTAGGGGAGGAGAAGCTGACACAAATCTCCACGGAAAGGCGGGCCCGCAAAAAGCAAAGTCCAGCTCCAACAGACCAGAGATAGAACAAACAGGCGACCCCTGCAACAGAGATCGTCACTCCCACATCGACCTCTACAGTCACAGACGTTGATTCTCCAGCCACGCAGACAACTAGGCTGCTACCCATGGTCAACCCTGACTGACGGAGGCATAAACAATGTTGTTATTATTATTATATAATCATTTTTTCAAACTATCTTTCACATCGGACATATTTTAAAGCAAATATTTTTTTATTACACAATCAGGCAAACTATAAATATACTTTTAATCTCAAGCATTCGAAATATGTGTTTCAATAATTAATTCCCTCAAAAATTCCAAAGAGAAAACCAAAACAACAAACAAATGAAAATAGAGAAAAAAATATAATCACTTCACCATCTTGTCGTAAATCCTTCAATTCCGATGCGGATATAAATGTGTGTGTATGTTTTAATTATCGGACTGAAAATTTGAAGAAAAATCCTAGTTTTTCTTTATGTGCTATATTTCACTTGATATATTCAATATAATATCTGGCAATGCTGACTCATGTCATATGTTGTTTTTTTTTCTTAACTATATTTCATAATCGCAAAACAGTCCAGAGGGAATTACAGGCTGAATCAACGAGCCAATGAATAGTTTTTTATTTTCTCTCTGCCGTTTTAACAAGAAAATACCTTACAGTGGTCTGGATTGGAGAGACGGCAGATAAAAGACAAACAATCATTCGTTGATCAAGGACATGAGATGCTGGGAGGAATAATTTTAACTGAAACACCCTTCACGAATTAAAGCAAAAAAAATGAATGAATAACCATATAGTTTCATGCGAGCATTTATAATTGTTAAACTGATTTTTAATATTGCTTCGAGTTCATTTACTCGTTAGTCTTAAACAATTTACAATACTAAAAAGTAAGTGGTTGTCGCCTGAGGATAGTGATGTCTGAATCAGGGTTGAATCATAACGAAGTGAACAGCAATGTTATATTTTGAAAATGGCGTCGAACGATCGTCTGCTTTTTTCAGTTTTTTTCGTAAGTCTTTCTTCTTTTAGTTATCTAAATATCGTTCATTAGCCACTGAATAACAAATTTATTATTATTATTATTATTAATAATAATAATAATAAGTCACAAAGATTAGGGAACTGGAGCATGATGAA